TCTTTTTGGCTGCAGTGGTTATTATTATATTTACATGCTTCCAGCTCCCATTTCTACTCGTACTTTTCGACTCTCCTTTGTCTCTCGAGGCTACATTCTTTAGGGTTTTGCCTGTAACTCTGCTTATATTGCCTTCATATTAAATTATTTTTTGAATAATAATCTTTGAAAATATTTCTTCATGTCATTATGCAGCAAGTAGGGGTGACATGGGCCGCGAGACTGAGACACAGGCATTAGAGCCTCTTAAAGCGTGTTTTGTTTGGAAGCTTGGAATTACCGTGGAATTAGCAAAAATAGAGAGGGCATAGTCTCACATATGAAACAGGAAAAGACCTTGTGTAATCCATTTATTTCAACAAAGTAACTGTATTCTGAGTACCACCTTTTTAAACAGTAACTGTAACAGAATACAGTTACTCATATTTTGTATTTTAAATATGTGATGGCGGTACATGTATTCCGTTACTTTACAACACTGCGAAGGACTGAAGGTTTGAATAGTTTGAGAATGGTCAGATTTGAATTTAAATTATTTTGTCAAAGACAAAATAAAGTCTCACCAAGCCAGTACTCTCCATTGGCGTTTCCGAAGCCCATCTTGTAGTGATTCCAGGGTCTGTAGAAGTTCAAGGAGCCATCCGTCCTCTTGAGGAGCACCTGGAAGAGGGGACAGTGTGGCCAGTTAATAAACATGAAAAATGTCAGGAAGTGAAATTTTCAGACAGCAGAGCTATAATTTTATAATTTCCTCCAGAAGGAAGTGTTCATACTGAAAAGTTACTTGACTGGAACTTTAACTGAATAAAAGAGAAAGAAAACTCACTGTCCAGCCTCCTCCCTCTAAGTCCATGTCACAGTACACCTGCAAACAAACATGTGTCACTTAATGTCACCTTTTAGCTTCTTGTAGCCTCAAACATTAGCTTTGTCTCCTACAGAGGCTGGACTGTACCTCGACTCCAGACTTTTCTCCAAAAGGGTAGATAGTGTACACGCCGCTGGGTCGGCTGCTGTCTTGTTGGTGGATGTCGTTGCAGTCCAGTGGCTGAATGAGCTCTTTGGAACTTGTCAGCAGAGGAGCCAGGTGGAGGATGGCAAACACTGACAGCAGCTGGAACAAAGAGGAAGTTGTTGGTTTGATTGAAGGTGTCAGGAGTTGTTGTGTGGATGTGGAGATGAGGGGACCCAAACGCTGAACTCGTGGTGAGGATTAAGGGTGTTTATTGGAGGATGAACGGATGAACAGAACAGGGAAGATTGCCCCAAAGACGAGCTCTATATC